TAAGAGCAAGTTATTCTAGCTGACTGAACACAGATATTGATTAAAATGTGCATGCAGGAACATTGTTGCAAGACTAAGTCATTATCCATGCTATAAATAATGCAGGAACGTCTTTTGATGGTCCAAAAATGCTGTTGAACAAATCATTACCAGACTTCGGCTTCTAGTGATGGTGACTCCACTGTCCACAGCTGTAGGGACGGCTTCCTCACTCATCTGTCTGTAAAAACAGATAGATGTGATCCTCTCAACACCTGCAAAACTGTAGTGTCAGCATTGTTTTGTCTAGCATGTCAGCAGAACTTACTGCACCTGTGCGAAACCCATAATGTATTGCAATTGTGCACAGCTCTTCTGTAGAACATGTCATATAAGGTTGTATTCATGCATATAAGGTTAACACTCCGTCTGTAGTTTCCAAATGTTATGTTGGAAAAAATATCATCTGCAACAGGCAAATTTCTAATGCAACGTTGACCAAAAATCCAACGAAAACAGGAAAAATGGGGGTTTTGCGCAGGTGCAGTGCATTCTGCCAACGTGCTGTTTTGTCTCGTGTATTCATCTACCCGCAATGGAAGCTCTCCCATATATGTACATGTACAATGGTTTCTGAACAGCTTTTAGAATGGTCCATATTTCCTAAATTCTCAGTGGTGCAGGTAAAATTTGTCTGGTGCAGGTGATTTTCAATGTTACCTGCACTAGTGCAAGTACATGTATGCAGAAAGTTTTTCGAGCCCTGACCTATCACAATTTCAAACTTGTGAACATAGACTGAGCATCAAAAGTTGACTCGTGTTTTAGATTACTTTGCTGTACTTACTTTTGTGCACATGCTGCACAGAGCAGGAGCATTGCCAGCAGAATGACCACTCCACTGACCACACCAACCAGGATTATGGGAAATAATGGTGCATCCTGGGAGCTGTCTACTGCAGCCATCAGAGTTCTGCTTTTGTGCTTCAAAACTGTTGAATAATCTGAGAAACAAAATGTTTTAAAATCAACATGAAAGCACAGGGGGAAAGGACAAGACATGGTAAAAATCTTAAACCTCCTATGTGTAACTTCAAGGTATCTTTTCAGACTTCATGCAATGCCAAGACCAAGACCTCATACATGAATATAATCTGATACTTCGTATTTGCAAGCAAATGTAAACAATGGCATTCATGATCACCTGGTGACTTTACTTGTAAACAGGAGACCACCTGACCACATCTAATGTAGATTTCTCCTTTTTCTGGCAAGTCATCTGTGAACTGTTGGGGACAAAAAAAATGTTAGGACTAGTATTATTGAATAGTCTTCAATAGCTTAAAGCTTTGTCAGGATTTCTGTTTTACTTCTTTTTGCATTCTATGGTACAATACGTGTGTATCAGTCAGTCACACACTAATACAATACTGTTTGACCATGTTTCACTGGATGCAGAGGTTTGTTCACAATGTTATTTGTTACTTAATTAATGTTGATATTTCTTTACAATAACAATACATAACACATACAAAAGATACATTATTAAAATATTATTGCATTTGCTCCGTATATTTTACTCACTCTCTGGTCTATCGCCTTTCTCTATTCTCCATTGACAATTGTTTATTTATTTTACCAGGACAGACTTATATCTTGATTTACTTGCTGTGGCTCAATGATGTACATGTAACGTTACATGTACTAGATTTAAACTAAGAAGTTTCCCTACCTTAAGCTCCCCCCCTACCTTGCCCAGGTGTGCGAAGATCCAAATAGTTATCTGATTATTGATTTTCATTTTTCATTATTCACTACAGACTCCAGGAAGAATAGTGTGAAATTCACACTAATGGAGATTCTAAACAAACAAACAAACAAACAAACAAACAAACCTTAAGCACCACATGGTTCCCCCCTGTATGTCCAGGAGTGAGGCTGACATCAGCCTGACGGTTCACTAAGCTGCAGGATGTCTCCACCGGTGTTCCATCCAGTACCAACCGGCCTGACCAGGAGTCAGCTGACAAAGAACTGTTCACCACCAGTGTAAACCTGTAGGACAATTGGGAAAAAACAACAACACATTCAGTGTTAGAAATACATATACCCACCTGCAATCTTCATTTTGCAGAGACATTTTTATCATAACATAACATAATAATGGTCGGATAAAGAGGCTGATATAGCCTATATAAATCCGCTTATCATTGCAGAATTTTATCAAGCAATTCACACAGAGTCAATACTGGCCACACTACTATCAAGATTGGTTTATTGTTTCCATTCATACCAATACACTAAAAAAAGTAAAATACATTGCAGTCACTTGCATATTGGGCAGACACGAAAAAGGAATAGAAAATGAACACTAGCCTGGTATGACATGTAAATTTCTGTTTGCCTATTTGTATGTTGTAACTTTGTTTTGCTTTTGATATGGGCCACTGATAGAAACAATAAACAAATCTGCTAGGGGTGGTGTCAGTATAGTTTATTTAACATTACGAGAAATAAGAAAATTTGACTCTATAATATATTAGTAAACTTGCATGCATTTTTCAAATGACATGTAAAACGTTTCCCAACATCTACATATCTGTATCTAAAGATTGTTTGTCTGTGTTATTATGGGTGATTGTGATTGTGTGTGCATGCATGTGTATGGGTGACTGTCATTGTTAGTGTACTAGTAGTTCTATACTACTATAGAAGGAGGTGCAGTCCACCATCTGATCTCCTCCTGTAGCTGTTATTGCCGTCCCTCCCCCTCCCTGTGTGGTGCCGCGCCCACCGGAAGTATGTTTCCGCCTGACCTGGTACAGCACTGACCCGTCACAACTATGTCATACCGTATTTCCTATGTCATCATCCCTTATATACACACAACTAACCTTCTAACGCACTCATATACCACCTCTTCTTTCATTTTGAGGCAGCCGCCTTCGAGTACCTGAAGATTCTGCTACTTTTTTGGGGCTAAATACGAGATGGGGTTCGCCAGGCCTCCATCCAGGAAAGTCGTGGAAGTGCCTGTCCCAAGAGTAAGATCGGTGACAAGCAGGGTTCGAACCCTGGACCTCTTGGTTCCGAGCCGAACGCTCTGCCGTTATGCCAAAACGACCTCCTAAAAGTGTTAATACTTATCGTCCATTCCCCTCCAACTATACAAATTGTATTAACACGATTATGTGGTGTACAGACATAACGGTCCTACCTGCATCCCCAAACAAACATGCCCCTCCCCACTGGCGCACTTTGCACAAGCGTCACAGCGCTGTACAGCAAAGCAGCCGCCAGCACAGCTCGGGCCTGGCTTCCCATGTCCACGGGCGGATCCTTGCGCTGCCCCCGCCAACAATTCCTCCCCTGTCCGCGGTTTAGAGGCAGGAGATCACGGAACAAGAATCGCACCAGGAAGTTTTCTTCTCTCCGCGGCCGCCATCTTCCTTGTTGTTGGGTGGGGATTTTTCCCGGCGTGCACTGCGCCGATCCACCTGTTCCCGCGCGCCCGATCGGGCACCTGATCTCCAAGCAGATGTTGGGACGGGAAATTGTAATCGTAACTGACTTCCCGTGTTTTTTTTACACGTGACCATGCTATTCTGCGGATGTCGGAATGTACGTGAGAAAAATGTGGCAGTAAAAATATGTCTCTTATTCCCCATATTGCAATTTATTTAGATATACACAATGTGGCGATATCTGAAGATGATCAATTTCTTTATTTGCTAGCATCTCTTTTTTTCCAGCCAGGAGCCTGAACTACACAAAGTCTGCAATACACAAATTATCAAACCGCTTTATTCTCAGTTTCCGACATTTAATACTGTAATAAGTGTGAAATATTGAACTACAAAATGTACATGTAACGATCTGCTGACAATGATCAAATTCAGATGTCTATTATGGAATGAGTGAAACCAAAATTCTTGGCAAAATAATAAACTTAAAATTCTTTTCACATAGAACATACAAAATGGCGATTGAAGAAATTAAAAATCAGTGCTGACCTTGCTGTAGCTTTTCATGTTAAGAGTTTATTACTCTCATTTCCAACATAAACCTACCTGCGGTTCAAGAAAATCCTGCTAGGTGGCCCAAGCCAACATCACTTATTTGGGAGCCTAAAGCTTCCACAGTAGTAACAAGGAAAATTGCTACCGAGGCCTAAAATTGAACTTGTTATTTATTTTGCTGACACTTACAGCACAGTTACAAGCATACCAAATATCATAACAATCATAGAATTGTGATTACATTTGCATCTCAGCAAATATTTGCTACTGGTAAAATAAAATGATAAATTCTATTGCACAGGGAAATATGTCTTTCATTTACCAACCATTTTGTATTTTGGAGCTGTATCTGTTGGTGGTTTTGGGCCCCAACCCCCCCAAAATGGAACAAACCATCTATAAGGGATGTGGACGTTTATGATGTCCTTTGGTTTTGCTCTTCAATAACAATGACATGATCTTATATTTCTCGCAGTTCTTACTATTACATGTATATACAAGTAAAAAAAAGCTTGGGGTCTTCAATAAGAATTCTGTTTATCTAGGTCTGTTAAAATTACTGGAAAGGACTTCGTCGCCTTTGAATGATATTGCATGATATCATACAAGCTTCTATCTATGCTAGAACCAATATTTACCTTATTTGTAGACAATGAAACTGATATTGCAGCATGGACAAATATTGTGATGACATATAATGAAATGTAATACAGAAATGAACAGTTTCTACATGACATAGACAGCAGGGTTCTCACCAGCATTTTTTCTCAGCATAGGGGTCAGGTACAGAAGGACAACTTTCCACGGCACAAGCCATGTGTTGAGGCCTAAAGACATGACCTCAAATACATTCTCCCCAAAACATTTTAAAACATTTTATAACCCTCCAAGACACTATTTCCTGCAAATTGATGGTCAAATTTTGTTAAGTTAATTTTCCCTCTTTTATAGCTTCACTCTGAAGTCAAATTTTTATTTCTAAAAGATTTACTAAAGTATCAAAGGTCAAACGGTCCTCCTCAAAAGAAACAATCCTACAGTTGCTGAAAGACAGTGTAGGGGGCTAAATCAGAGCAATCACAGATAAGGGGGCCCTTACACTCATAACGTCTAGTAAGAACCCTTTACAAGACGGTGGCTTATATCACAAGGTCCTCCTCAAAAGACATACACAGGCTGAAAGGCAGTGTAGGGGCCAAATCACAGTATTGGGAGTCCAAATCAGTGTAGGTGGTCCAAATCACAGTGTAAGGGGCCCCTACGCTAAAAAATCCTGGCAAGAACCCTGTACATGAAGGTGGCTTATGTTACTGCTATGACGTAAGTTTAACGGCAAGTCTATGTTGTTGCTGCCTAGCGACCCTCTGTGCCTCCATCTCCTGTTTCCTGCGCTGCTGGTTGGCCTGTAGTGGTAGATATAATTTTTTTAGTGTTCTGCAATATTATAGAATGTCTAAATTTTGTTCTGCAGTTCAGAAATACTTTCTGCAAATACTAGTACACTCTTATAAAAGCGGACCTAAACCCATGTCATATACAACATTGTTTTACATGTAATTTGAAAAATGCAAGCAAAATTACTTCTATGTTATAGCCTCAGTAGAAAACACAAAAGCTCTTATACCCCCTAGCGGTAACTAGCGGTAACAACAATTATACCCCCTAGCCTGATTTTTTTTTTCAGTCTGCAAAACTGTAGGTTGCTTCATTTCTCCTCTGCACTATTGAAAATGTCTCTGCAAAATGCAGTTAGCAGATGGGTATTTCTAACACTGACCTGTCTCCTCTCGCGCTCCGCCTGACGCTGCTCCCGTATCGCCGCCTCGGCTTCCCATGCCAACATGGAGTCTCCGTCTTCCTCCCACGCGTTCCCGTCGTCTGTCCACGTCTCCAGCTCAGAACTCTGGAGGGAGATATCATGGTGAAACATGTGACTTTGTGTGGTTGAAGAGTTTTATCTTTGTTCCAACACAAGAAAGGAACTCACTATAAAATTTCAGTTGATCCCATGGACCTTCATCAAATGTATGCTTGGAACAAAACTTTACTACTCTACAACTATGGATAATACCAACACATATGAACTTTCATTTGAATATGTGACTTTGTGGTTTAGATGGTTGACACAGGTTCAAGAGAAGAGGTCCTAGGATCGAATCCCAAGGCATGTAACACCTATTTCCTTACTCAGGTAAATGTGTGGCTAGCTTCTGTTGGGGACATTTTCCAGCATGGGAGGCAAGGCAAAGGTCCTGTGTTTGAGCTTTGAACTTTTATGATAGTATGTACAAACATGTAACAACAAAATAGCCACGAAACTGTGATGTTTGATTGTTTGTTGTTTACTCACCACAGGTAAGAGCCCTGCATCAGTACTGGCAGACAGACGGCTGGACAGGCTCCCCAGGTCCTCCATCGGCTCAGAATGGACTTTTTTCTTCACCATGATCTGTGGAGAGACACAGGATCAAATTAAAGGAGGTATAAGACTTTTCTTCAGTTTTCACCTAAAAACATGGCTCAAAAGAACTACTAGACAAATGTTTTGGGTTACAATACAGGACGATGTTTGTTAACCTTTGAGTTGACTTAAAAAGTTTACACTTCACTGCACAACAATTGTACTAGCACTCACTAGTACTAGGCACAATGTATGGCATCTATTGCTAATTTGCTATATAACAAACATACTAAGAGACTAACCTACCTTACAAGACTCTGCACAGTATTGGAGTGTACATGTATACTGTATGAGATTAAATGTGCTTTGACAATACAATTCATGCAACTTCTAGCAACTAGACATCTTTTGAAATGCCCACCTTGGTTTGTCGTTTGATCTGCGGAGCCATGTCCTGGAAGTAGTCGGGTTCTGGTTGGTCGGTGTCGTCCTCCTGTGCGTTGCTAGGGACAACCTCCACACTGGTGGGACCATCACCCCAGTCTGCCCAGGACGTCAGCTCTGGCTGCCATATAATTATAAGGACATAGGAGTGAGTGACAAGTTAGAATTTGCCATATTTGGAAATATGAGTGAGTGATAAGTTAGAAATTTGCTATATTAGGGCATACGAGTGAGTCACAAGTTAGAATTTGCCATACAAGGACAGAACTTGTGACTTAAGTGCTGTATAGGACATGTATATGAGACATTGAGTGTTTGTTTACTTCAAGTATTTGTGATCAACTGTAGCTCTTTAAAATGCCAAAATCTATGCCAGGAACAGTGTTTTTTTCCACAAATGGTAAGTAGACATTTTAAGCTATCTAGTGGATAGAGGCTTTCGGAGATTGAAATTCTAGAGTTAGATGTTCAAGGGTTCGGTGTAACAAGTCGATCGGTGTGATGTAGCCAGCTGCTGCCATGCCGCGTGCCTGCGAAGCTGGTGTGTTACGCCGAAGGGCGGTTATACAGGCTATACAGATACGTATACAGAAATTAAGGTTACCGGTAGTGTATTTTGAAGCCTTGAATATGTCTGTTTTTCTACAGAAAAATATGGCGCTGATATTTCTTGGTCCCTCCCTTTCTCAAACATGCTCTTTCAAACATATTAACCTCATACTCAAATGCATTTTATACCACATATTCCCACAGTGCATTTTACCTCATTCCCTGATGCTGCCGGTGTCTGTACCGGGACCGTACCACTGTTGTGAGAGGGCAGGGGGGTGTCGCTGTTCCGCCGACCCCGCGACCTCCACAGCAGGCGCTTGAAGAAGTTGAAGATGACGGTGAAACAGCTGCACAGGCGCCACAGCTTCAGCTGGATAATTCTCATCTCGACAGGTGTCTGCAGATCATATGATGGAAACACTCAAGTTACAGACAAAAGCTTTCTAAAGGTCTCGGACCGGAGTTTCCCTCCGTATTTCGAGCAATTTGACACCCTCAGCCCGACGGGCTGTCATTTCTGTACTAAACGCGGGTCGGAATTTTTCACTCTTTTGGTGGAAAGGGGTGCCGTGCCGCTTATCAATACACTTGATTGATATTTTCTGCGCCCAATTTATTTAGGGGTAAATGAGGCACATCAAAGTACATTTTGAAAAAAAGGGGTCATTTTTTTCGTCATTTTTAACCATGGCTGCATGGAAAAAACGAATTTTCCCAGGGTAACGGCTTAGTACTCGAAGAAGCTCAGAACCTAATGTTTCCAAAATTTGAATTTAATTAAAATTGATGCGATAAGTTTGTCGCTATCTTCGATGGCCCGAACACACCCAGAACGCATATAGAACGTACCATCCCGGCGGTCAGGCGAAAAGGCCACATAACCATCCGCGCGGACGAATACCAGGAAGTCTTAGCTGGACCACCAACATTACGCCACCTATAAAGGCTACAACTAACAGGCTTTTCAGAAAATACAAAGATATGTACACAGATATTACGATTTCAGGGATATCGCGGCCAAAACATACCATACAAAGTCACGTTTCCGGCGATTTACTCCGCACTTACTTAGACTCTGGTCAGAATTAAACTCCGACCCGGAACCTTAAGGAGATTAATTTTCATTAAAAAAATTTAATATTCTTCAGAAACATTATATCTATCATATATCTAAATTTGGCTTGTATGCGATCATTACTTTTCCCGCGGCAGCGGTTTAAAGTCATGTGAAAAACACTGTGTTCTATGGCTACTTTTGCCAAGACGCGGCCCCTAGGCAGCATTACAATGGAGAAATTAAAAAGTACCGTTTTTTGGGGTTTCGCTTTTTTCAAATCAGATAAAACGGAAGGAAACGCCCGCTCTGGTCATTGGCTAGGGATAGATGTGGTTTTATCGTTCTTTCTGTGCTGCATACTTGCGGGAAACCTCTTTAAAGTTGGGATCGATGACGTCACGCAGTGACGTCATGCGTTGTCCAAGTTAAACAGCAGGGGGTAGCGTTTTTGCTTCACCGCTTTACATTAAAATGAAGAATACGTCAGATTTTGACCTTGAGTGATAGAACTGAGCTCGCACTTTCCGAATCAAACGAGTCCGACACCAAACTCTTCACTACTTTGCCGTGAATGGCCTATTAAGTAGCACAGCGCACCTTAAATGTGTGAAAAACTGCGTTCTTACGAGGCGCAAAACACAATCTGGGTGATGTTGCCGTGGCTAGGAGCGATTAGTTGAAAAAATTGCTGCGAAGTTGCGTGAAGTACTTATTAGGCTACCACTTAACGCCAGCCAACGAAAAGAAGTTCGCGATTTTAAGGAGCCCTGAACCGAAAATCAGAAAACCTAGTTTTGCCTTAAATAGGCCTAAAACAATCGAATTTTCCTGTAAAATGTCAGTTAAGTCACCATAAATGGAAAGACTTGGCCGAAATTATGCGGAAGTCAAATTTAGAGGTCGACTCACATGAAATGACATAGAAAGTGAATTCATTTGAGAACATTTTATCGTCCAGAAACGATTAAAACTGCCCTTCACGGAGAGGCCGGGGGGGGGGTGGGGGGGCGGACGGGAAAGGGGGGGCGGGGGCCGACCGTACGGACCCGACTAGTAGTATACGTACCGGTTACGTTTACCGGAAACCCCAAAGTAGTAAC